TAAAATGTTTTCTCCCTCTAGTATTTACCTTTTGATATATTTACAAGTGGCAATGAAGTAATCAATTAAGTCATAATTCAAGTTCTTTACATTATCAGTTTAAAGAAATCCAACTTTTCCTGTCTACTCTGACAGAACTGGCTATCCTGTCCACTCCTCTATCATCCTTTTCTGCACCTTCTTCTGCATATTCTTTGGAACAGGTACGACTAGAGATGGGGCTTCACCATAAATAATATCAGTAACAATTGAATTCCAACTATTAAACATGAGGAAATAAAAGTGAATCCTTCAGATTACATATATAGTTTTATTTTTCAAATGTTAGTGTGAATTTCAAGATTTTCCTACTTTGATCTTGCAATGGCATTGGCAACCTGCATGGAAAATTATTTGTTCATTTGAGTGGCTTACTTAAATTTAAATATTTGAGATTCTATACTAGAGACCTTTCATCAAAGGCATATTGAAATAATTAGCTGAATAATTTTTGGTCCAGTCTGAAATTTTCAGCTGTGTAAAGGAAAGTTGAGAAAACTGCACTAATTTTCCCAAAGTAATTAGTTACCTAAAGTGCAGCCACAGTGCTTACGACCAGTGTATAAATTTAAAATGGAAAGATGTTATTACCACAAAGTACTACCATGCCACAGGGCATCCTGTCTAATTATACCAATCAAGACAGCAGTAAAAAGCATGTCAAGTTACATGTTTTTCAGAGCCTGAGACAGTAACTTTAGAAAATCTCACCAGTAAAAATTAAAACAATTACTGTTCCGTAACACAGTAACTTTTCTTGTACAGCAGTGAGAATGAGCTTTCGTTACAAGAAAGAGCTATAGTTAACAGATTAAAAAAAAGTTCCCTACAAGAACAATATTGCTTATAGTGACTTACCTTTACTCTTAACAGTGTTCTTCAAAAGTCTGTAAGATTTCCTTGTTAAAATTTTACAGTGAGTTATAACAAATGAAGGAAGAATCATTTGACTATATTACGCAAAAGACAAGTGTAAACTTCACTTAGAAGGATATATTAGTCAAAATTAGTCAAAATAGTATTTGGAATGGCAACAGATAGGGTTCTCTGATTTATGCATGAAATTTTGATGACTGTTCAAATAACAGCATACAAAAATTATGAGAGCAGGTGATATTCAATGTTCAAATGAGAGGCATATTTTGGAATATTTGTCTCATATCTAGAAGGACACATTGTATATTAAAATGTGTTAAAGAAACAGAGTTAGGTAATTCATATCTTAGGGATTTGTGCAAATGTTTTCGTAAAGTTATATTCTGTATGTTGCCTAAAAAAAATCGGGAGAAAAGGACTCTCCAGGCAATATTAGATATGATAGAGAGCAACTCTTTTAATGAAGAGTACATGGAGTACAAAGGCACATGCCTACATACAGAATTCTTACACTTTTATGTCTTTTAGTAATTGTCATATCTAATGGAGACATTCAATCCTAAGATCCTTTTGCCCAGGTACCACCCTTAGAACTGCCCCACTGGAGCACCTCCAAGGGCCTTCAACCTTCTATCTTGTTTTGTCTACCTTATCTCTTGCTATTCCGGTCCAGGTGCACATCCCAATGGAATGTCCTTGCTAAAATCTATTGCCTTGAAAAGAAAGTCAAAAAATGGTTAAGCCAAAGATTCAGGAATGTGGCGCACAAACTGTGAGAAAGTAAGGGTCTAAAGTGAAGGAAAACCCCAGGAACATTAAAATCTACAAAAAGCTAAAAATCCTAAAAACTCTAAGGTATCAGTATGTTATGGTAATATGGCTGTATCTGTACAAGTATCATGAAGTAGAAATCAAAATATTCTCTAAGTGTGTCAGATTTCACTGTGTGCCGGAAATTGCTAGTCAAAATGTTAGCACTAGAGTCCCTAAGGGCCTCAGCCTCAGCATTGGCAGCAAAGAGCAGTTACCTCATCTCCAATTTTTATTTTATTGAGCCTTATGAAGCAGATGATCAGTATCCTGAGCCTCTATGAAAGTTCACCCTGTGGCTAAAGGGTTTTGAGGTATGGTGAAGCAAGTGCAGACCCATAAGCAACCTTGTTCTGTAGAATCAGGGTACAGCAGCTGTTCAGACAATGGCAGCCTTAAGGTTACAAGCAAGGCTTTGGAAGTCACCACAACTTAAATGATTTCTCTCTCCCCTCAGGGAACATCCCTGTCACAGTTATTTGAATTACGAATCACCCTTTCAGGCAAATAGCACATCAGAATAGCAAGCCTCTTGTAGGATAAAAAGTCAATTCAGGCAGTTTGGTTCTGGTGTCTGTGTTTGCGTCAAACAACCCTACTTGTTTAAAGCAATTAAGCCTTGTGTTCATAATGTGCAATTATAAACTGAGATGATGAATGCTTGTCCTTCATAAAATAGCAGTCAAATATATCTCTTTCCTTTTGATAGATTAGAATTTTTTTTAGTGAATAATGAGAGCCAATTTAAGTCAGACTTTTAAAGGAACGATGAAAAATAGCTTCAATTGCTTCAATGAGAAATTTAACAAGGACTTTTTTCCTCTTAAGAGCTGGAAACAATTTAAACCAATAAACTTTATTCAAACTGACATATAGAACAACTTAATATAACCTTGAAAAGATTCCATCATTTTCTTCGTCCACTTTCCTTTTTCATTTCAACTTTCTGCTATGCATTTATCACCTGTTTTCTTTTACACATATGATTACTCTACAACTAATCCCATTCATAAACTGTTCATATTCTACTGAGAAAAATAAAGTAAATAGACACACCTTAGGTTATACAAATTAAAATGTAGAGCTTGGGTTGGGCTGAAGTGCAGATAAAGTCCTGAGAGCTGCAGTGCTCCCACCTAGTACTCCAGGTTTAGAGCAAGTGTTTCCTTAGTACAAGGATTTCCCATGTTGAGAAAGGCAGGAGAGCCATCACTGCTCCCACATCCTGCTTCTTTCTGTCCTTTTGATTTTATACATGAATCTGGAAAGGGAACTTGTACTACATGGTATTTGGGATATCATGCAAAGAAATAAGGGTATTTCAGTGGTTATCATGCCCTCTTTAGAAAAGATCAAAAATTCAGTTGTATGAACCCTGAAGCACAAGCTTGTCTAAGCATTTTGGCTTACTTTAGAAACAAACAAAAACCAGAAGCTTGTTTCTACGTCTCTAAAGTACAAATGCCTGGCCCTGTTTTCATCATGCCATGCTGCTAATTATGGAAAATACTAACAGCTTCTCATAAGAACTTTGTGTGGCTCTTGAGGCTGTCATTACCCATGATGAAAAAGAAAGGAAATGTCTTTCAATTCTTTCCTGAAGGAGGTTGGGGTGTATGTATTTAACAAATTAGTTAACTATTTTTATATTTTTAAAACAGCTGATTAGCAAATCCTACATTTCTTCCACATGGCATTTCATGTTGCATGCTTCCATTTGGTTAGAGAGCCTTTTTCCTGTCTGCTGAAAGCAGTAATTTGAATCAATTTCATTCTCCAGGTGTAGTTTTCCACCCAATTTCTTTGTCTTGTAAATTTATAAGATTATGTGAATATAAAATCCTCTACTGGGATTTTCTCTATAAAATGTGCAGTATTTTTTCATCATAAGCAACAAACGCTTCATAAGCATGTTTTTGCATATTCAACTACCCTTATTCAAGATGAATAATTAAACTGACAAAACTAGCAGGATGCTGCATATATGGAAAACTGTTTCTCATGAGTAAATGTTGCATATTGAGGTTCCTGTTGTTGGCTTGCTTCTCACAACTGTATGGCTGCATGTTCCAAGTTTCCTAAGATCAATATTGATACAACACTGGCTTTCTACACCAGTGAGGTTTTAACTAGCTATTCTAACCTGTAATAACTAGTACCCTTAGTTATTGGCCAAATTGTATTGCTCAGCCCTGCACACTTCATTTCCCCTTCTGACTCAAAAAGTATTCTTATTAAAATTAATTTTCATTTCCATTTTTAACCATAAAGCAGTGATGTTTTTACTTCTGTTACATTCAGAAATGTCATGTAAGGTCTGACAATCAGTACCCTTTCCCTTCTGCCGCTAATATGTCTTTGTTTCTTTTTTATTTTTTCTTTTTTCTTTAATGCAGTTCAAATAATGAGGAAAATTATATTATGACCAATAAAAATATAGTTCCTATGTCCTTATGCTCAGTCTTAGTTTTAACTACAACATAATGAGATGCTAATATTCACTTTTATTTAAAAACAAATATTTTCATTTTTCAGAGTGGTAAAGTTTTAAGTGTACAGCCATAAATACGACATCTCTGACAGAAAGCATATACAGCTCCAAAAGGAATTCCAGAAGTTTGAAGCACTCCACTTGTCTTCTCTATAAAAGCACCCTTGATTAAGACAGGATTGTCTGTGCCTCCACATGTAACTAGGTTAATTTTTCATAAGGACTTATATGATCTCCACCGTATTTGAACAGAGGAGGAACATGTGTCCTCCTCACACTGTTGTATGGCAAGTTACTGCTCATATAGTTTTCAATAGCAAACTGAGGTAGAGAAAGCCTAGTGGCTTCTAAAATATGTAAGGATTAGAGAGAGAAAAAAGAAATTAATTTAACTTCTCTTACAGTGGGACAGGTTCTCACTGACAAAGAGAAGGAAGTGGGAATGCCCTTGCCAGGAGTTGGGCAGAAAAACATAACTCCATAAAACTCTTATGCTTATTTTGATTTCAAGACAAAGTTGTGGTAGGGGTAGAGTTATATGGAATTTTATGAACTGTACATGGAGGTTGGATTTCCTTATCTTGGGATTTTTTCAATTGTCCTGAAATACATCGTTATTCTTATCCATTGTGTCCCCACTAATATAAATAGGTATCATTCTGGCACTCAGCTAAGTAATTCTGTTGTCATCCACAGATGGACAGGGGATTACATGGCTAAGAAATGAAATAAAAGCTAAATCTCTACGCTTGATAAAGCTCTGCTTGTTTTCTCTTTCATTCAGGATTACCGAGTGAACATCTTTCTCCGTCAGAATTGGAATGATCCACGCCTTGCATACAGTGAATATCCAGATGACTCTTTAGATTTAGATCCATCCATGCTGGATTCAATTTGGAAACCTGATTTGTTCTTTGCTAATGAAAAAGGTGCCAACTTTCATGAAGTTACAACAGATAATAAATTGTTGCGGATTTTTAAAAATGGAAATGTACTTTATTCCATCAGGTAAGTCTCTAATCAAATTACTTTCAGATAGAAGCTCAAAAGTATACTTAAGAATTGCTAAAAGATATATTCAGTTGCTAGTCATGTGGAAGTATCATCCGTGAGTTTTGAACATAGAATTGTCAACATTACTGTTAATACTAAATCAAAAAATGATCCTTCATTAGGCATGCACATAGTAAAAGTAATAAGAAAAGTATCTTTCCCATTTTAAAGTACAAGTACTGAGCCTAGAGGAACTAGGATACTGCACAGAGCAAGCAGTCCTCTAGTATTATAATCTGTGTTGGCCTATGTATGAGTTTCACAATCTGTAGCCTTCAATGTCACGACAATCAAATGTTATTTCTCTTTCGCCTTTTTGCATATTGCAGTTGACCTTCAACATGGAAACATGACCTGTTTGAGGAAGTATGACATTTAAAGATTAGTTACTTACTGCTGGAGTTGGAGAGAAAAGTGGAAAGCAAACTTTTGAAAAGGTTTAAGAAGCTATAAGCAACAATCATAAGTATTAACAAAATCTAGTTATCATAGTTCATTTGTCTTCTATTCTTACCACTTTTACTGATACAGATACAGACATCAGTAGGCATTTTACCACTGTCTTCAAAAACTCAATCTAATGAGAAATATATTGGATATAAGTATACTAATGGCCCACTAGACATGGTATAGATTTGGTATTGAAGCAGTGCAAAATGTTGCACTTTTCAAAATAAATATACTATTGTCCACTTAGTGTTTTACTTTGCACGTTTTTATGACACTTAATTAATGGGTAATCAGACTCTTTGAAGATATATCAGGAATAGTTTGTATACCAGAAAAAAAAGCAAACATTTGTGATTTGTATGGATGTATCAGTGGCAAGACAGCCTCTTTCCTCCCTCCCTCCAAGGCAAGTGGGCAGCATCTTTTCAAGTTTACACAAGGAAAAAGGATTGGGTGAAAATTCTTATGGGCATTTCATATTCAAAAGGAGGTTCATCTGCCACTCTGGGAACATAGTGAGTCTTGAGTGTCACAACCTGTATTCTGTCACTAGAAACAGATGGAAAGAAAGTTAAAAGGGTTCTGTCTCTGGATTCAAGTAGAAAGTAGATCTAAATCAATTATCTCCAGACTGTCTAAGTCACTCCAAGAGGCACTGGCAGCTGTTCCACTCTAATCAAGTAGCTCCTCCCCCTTGCCCTACTCCTTTCAGATACATACAACACAGGGTATAGACCCCACCCCTCAACTGAGGCAAGTTTGGATTGCAACTTCAATAGAATTCAGACCAAGTTTGTGCCCAGGTGAAATGGGGGAAAAAAACTCCAAACATGAAAAATATTATAATATTAAATTACACAAGAAAACATTGAATGTGATGAAAGCAGATACCAGATGGTTCCTGTGTTTCTTATGAAGCCAGAAAGTTTATGTTGCCATGATTTAACTAAGGACTATTGCAATTTCTGAAACAAATTTAAAATCATACTATTGGCATGTAGTTTAATTGTTATGTGCATTTCAGTCAGTTAAGCTTTTGATAAGAGGAGACATGCTAATAGCTAATGTGTTGATATTAAAAGAAAAAAAAAGAAGTTTTCTAAATTTGCTTTTTTCTTTCTTTCCTTAATGTCTCCTCCCCTAATTGCATTTGAACAATTCAGACAAGAAAATAATGGAAGGTTACAGTGCCTATTTCAATGAATACTTAATACAAAATACTAAAATATTTACTGAAGCATAAAATACAGGTGCATCTTCTCTGAGATGACTTGCTGTGTTACCAGCCTACTAGTCTGATTTTGCATTACGAGCTGTTTTTAATAGCATAGGAATAGAGCCTGGATCTGACTTCCCTCCTCAGTCTCTTACCCTGCAGCTCTGTCACTTGCAGGCTAAACAGAAATTATAGAAAGAATGAATCAAGAAGATTTGGTCAGCAAAAAAAAATAAATACATAAAATAATATACAGCCATACTTGCCACCTACTGCCCACTTCCCTTTAGCCCCAATGACAAAAACAAGGGAATGGGTTTAAGAGAGGAGGATTAGAGCATTCCCATGCTAGAAAAGCCTTATATGTCAGGTCTTCAATTCAAGTTCCTCAGGTTTTTGTAGGACATTCTATCAACTGAACTGATTAATGACAGTACAGTAATGTCCACAAATGATGAATGGATACCTAAAAATGGCCAGTGAGGGAAAACATGCGCCTTTATCTCTTATGTTCTTCTTTCTCATTCCATTGAGAAGTATTACTCTGAAGATAAATTATTGTATTTATATAAAATGTAAAAATACCTCTTTTGCCCACAAGTTGTGAAGTATTTCACGGGAAGTATCAGGACTAACATAAAACACAGCTGCAGTTCAAAATTACAGGCATATTTCAGTTTACCATCCAAATCATAAAATGCTATCTTAAACCTTTGTGTTGACATTTTAAGTACCTTGTTTTAGGACAACAGCACATTAATTACTTTGCCACCATGATTTGCAGCTGACATATGTTATGAAATCCTTGTAGATTTGGATAAATTTTATGTCAAGGATTTGAAATACTGAAACAGTACAATAACTGCTGTACTACAAAAAGGCACGCTGTTGCTGCATTCTTTTAGACTTCTCATAAAGTTAGGCAACCCTACTGAAAAATTTGTTTTTCTGAAAGTCTGCAATAATTTTTTTCCATATTATCATACTAAGCTAAGCGAGTTAAATGGGTTCAGCTAGTATGCATCCTTTTTGAGAGCTTTCTAATGAAAACGTGTTCTATTTCTATTTACTTCTAATTTATTCATGCATTCTTCCTGCGCAGTTCTATGGTATTTTGGTGGTATATTTTTAATGGGGTTTTGTGTTCTTTCAGGTTGACTTTAATACTGTCCTGTCCGATGGATCTCAAAAATTTTCCAATGGATGTGCAAACATGTATAATGCAGTTGGAAAGCTGTAAGTTTGTGTAATATATTATCCAATAAATACTTTTGCAGGGATTACAACTATGCAGGAGGTAGAAAAATCCCTTGTAGTGGTACAAAAATAAATTTCCAAAATGAATCTTCTATTTTACCAAAAGAATCTCTGAAATATACATGATTTTCAGAGGAAGAGATATTTTCATCCTTATTTGCACTGATAATCAATAGTTTTCTGTAAATCTGAAGTTATCACTAAACTTAAATACCCAGCGACAGTTTACTTTCAAACAAAATTTCTGCATATAGAGTTTCACCATAAGTCTTCCCTGTGTTCACACGTGCAGGAGGAAAATAATATGGGAGAGCATAAAAGAAACATGAGAATGGAAACTGTAAAGGAGCTATGCCATTTCAAGGCACATACACACACTCACAAAAGGACAAATCAGCTCTTCTCTCTGATGTTATGATCTGAGCTAACAGAGGATCTATGAGGAGAAAGGCATAGATATGCATTAAATTTTCATCTTCCTTGTGATATGAGTATTTGGAAATTGCCATTTCCCTTAAAATGAGAGGACTTTGAAAGAGAGTTCTAGTGGAAAAATCCTCCCAGTGATGCAAAGAACAAAAATAAAATAAAGTAAAGCATTCCTTGAAGGATTCCAGTAATCTGAAATTTGTGAAAATTAGTGACGGGGCAAAACATACTAGGAAGTATCCATCTAAATTATCTAGATTTACAGTTTTAGTAACTGTAAATATTTCAAAATATTTTTAAAAAAATCTGCATATAGAATGAATATACTGGAATATTTGAAGCATATTATAGATGAGAAACACAACACACATAATATGATTAAAGTATTTCTTGGATTTTTTCTTCTTTTACGGGAGCAAAGTAGCATCTTAGGGGAGGGAGAGGTAATTATCTATCAGCCAGTATGTCAGAACTGTTCAATGTATGAATGCTTTTACAAAAAATTGCAGGTTGAGTATAAAAGCCAGATCTGTCTTTTACTGTAATGGACAGATGGTAACATTATGAAGCAGGCTTTCAATATGAGGGCAATGGCTGAATCTGATAGCAGAAATTTTCTTGACAAAAATTGAGAGATTTGCAGCAAATGTCAAGGAATTTAGGAAAATATTATATATATCCAAAATTTAAGCAAAACTCTGTGGTCAACCCAGGCAGATGATCCTAACAATAACCTATGTCGCTTGCATAATTAAAGTGACTAAATAAAAGGTTGATACGAGGGAGTTGTATCAGAATACATGCAGGTGGCAGGGATATTCATTATATATAATTATGCTTCAAAGAGGAAGTATCATAATGTTTGAACGAGCAGAAGGTATACTTTAAAAAATGTTTTAAAAAGTTATGAAATTTTTGCTGCTACAACTTCATAAAACTGAGCTGCTTTTTACCTCTCTTTCAGCCATTGTGAGGATAGGTCAGGCAACAACTGAGCATTCTTGATAAAACAGGCATCTGGTTTGCTTTATAAAAACCTTGCAGGAGCCCACAATTCCCTCAGACTGCACCATAGGGAACCAACACTTATTAGCTGAATAGCTCTGTAGATGTTCTACTGTCTTTTTCAGCAGAACATTTTTCACTGTAGTCTTGTTTTTAATCGTTCGATTCAGTGGGAGTAAATTCCCAGCTGCAGATTGACATAGTTGAGAGAGGTAATGCTCACAAAAGAAGAGCTGAACAAAATACAAATGAGTGCTTCAAAGTCTTCTACTTACAAAGATCAAATTTGATTTCATAAGGAAGTTACAAGTAATAAAGCTTTCCCCATATTGCCTTGTCTGATTCTGTTCTACCTGTAACTTCAGACAGCAAAAAACAAACTATGAAAAAAGAAAGTGGCCTGAGGCAGAATATTTTGCAGCATGTGGGAGCTCTGGCTATGTTTACATGTCTAATAGGGAATAACCAGATAGGTTTGCAAGAGCAAGGACAGGAGTTCCCCAAAATTATTTTGGGACAAATCCAAAGCAGATAGGTACAGTGACCTAAGTTCCAAGATCCTAGACCTTCAAGAGCAGGAATTCACCTGTCCATAGCCAGTTTCTCTGTACAGGAAGGACAGGAAAGGAAATAGACAAATTGGAAGTTTACAAAAAATATCTACGTGCTATGCAGGAGAGTAACTAGGTTAAAAAGAAAAAAAAAAAAGCTTATATAAGTGTGAACTCTACCCAATTTGCAATACTTTGAAAAGGCTGAGCAGAAACATTCAAATTCCAGACATATTTTCTGGCATTTCGAATTCCAGAGTCTCTGGCTAAGAAAAGGCATTCAGTTCTATTTAAAATTACAGAAGAAAAAAGGACTTGGGTGCATTCGGCATTTTCCCATAAAATTCCTGAGGTATGAACTGACATAACCCTGAGAGCCTGAATCCATCCAAGCACCTCTAATTTCTAGGCCACAGTGTCATACTCTCTTGTGGCTGTCTAACTTGCATTTTATGGTGCACAATGAGACGATGTAAACAGAGGAATCAAAGCCATAACCCTAGTGGTTATTGCCCTGTCTGGGGAAGTGGAAGACATTTGTTTCAAAACTGAGAGCACAGTCTTCTCATATCCTGAGTAAATGATCTGACCATCAGTCTGTTGTTTAAAAATCAAAGTGTTTGCAGGAGCAAAACAGCAGTAGCCATGCTTCCAGATGTTTCTTTTTAAAGTTGTGATCATTGCTGTTTTTTCCACTAACTGCCAAGTTTGGTCGAACATTGTACAATTATGAATTTACAAGGCCCACTTATCTCATAGTTTCTTTAAAATGTATCTGATCTTGAAAGCCTTGCTCCTGTATGGGTCATTAAGAAAATTAGACTAAATCACTCATCTTTTTCTTACTCATCTTACTTCCAGGTTACGAGGACTGACAGTTACCTAGAGAGATGATGCATTTTACCTCTGCTTTAAATAATTATTTCTTTTAGTACTAAATACTTTCCTTCAATATTGATACTGTTGCTCCAGCATAGGAGGGTCTAAGAGGAAAATTCATTTATAGCTTTTCTTCACAAATGATATTTTTATTTTTACCTGGCTCTGTTTTTTCCAAGGTCAGCCTAAGTAGCTGTATTTGCCCCTAGTAAAAGTAATTCACTTATATCATGAAGGGACTGAAAAATATTTAAGTGGAAATGTCTTCTATTTTTAAAGGATTTATTTTAACAAATGGTTCCTCAGCAACTAGAATAAGCTGCTTTTGTATCTTAGGAAGAAAGTAAATGAAAATGCATATATGAAATAATCCCTTCTACATTTCTTTGCCTTACACTAGGGCAGCCTATAGGCATGCGAGATAATTTTAATTTCATTCTGCTTGAATAAGATACAAAGAAATGTCAGCTAGATACATATTTATTTCTGTGACCTGTCTCCCAGGAAAGAAATGTTTTTCTTTCATGTGCTAGAGCTTGTTGCCTCTCTTTTTTAAGTTTCACTTTTATCTCACAGCATTTATTTATTCATATATTACAATTATAACTTTATGTGACATTTAATATTCCTGAATTCTCAAAAAATAATGAAAATAATAACTCAGCTACAAGAGAAGAAACATACTATGAAAAGCACCTGCTTACTGCATAATTTTAATTTGATGCTTATTATTAAATTAAACAATGGTCTTTTTATTTTCCCTTTTGATTTATGAAGGCTTTTTAGTCTTTCTAAGCAATAATATTCTTGTCTTTTGGATTGTTAAAAAAAATTAATTCCATACTACGTGATGCTGAGTTGCACTATTTCTTTCCCACCAACCTCTTAATTGTTGATTGTACAAGTGGAAAGATGTGCAGGCAAGCTGCAGTGGTGCAAACTAATGTGTTACAGAAAATGATGTGCACATTGTTCATTTCCCACAACAGCACAAAGACACCATAAGATAAAAGAACTGGAGCATATTTCTTATCAGCCAGGAAACCTCAGGTCTCTACCTGAATGACAGAGATTATGGACAGACCAGGTCAGTGTCTGCCTCTGCCAGCAAATATAGAAACCATACCACTTCTCTCCTTTTCATTTCAGTAGCATAAAAATTGTCAACAACTCATCCTGTGTTTTCCACTCTGCAGATGAGTAACTCAACCTATTGTGCTTATCTGAAACAAGACCTGACATGCAGCTACAAAGATCAAGATACTCGTAGTCTTCAGCTCCTGACCAACACAGGTTGAAAGGGCAGCAGTAATTGTACAACTGCTGCTGAACATACAGAAACTAATATAAAACTGACAGCTGAAAATCTGTACACTCCAGCAAGGAATATTAGCTTTGAGAGATGTGCTAGTGTGCTGAGCCTAAAATGTTATTCTTCTCTGAAATTCAGACCAAGAGGGATAAACCTATAATTCCCAAGGAACGCCATCAGAATGACTTAGAGGGTAGTGCAAGATGCAGACCCTTTGCAAAGCAGTTCAGAAGTACATTGCATAGAATCCTGCTTTCCTGGAGCTCCAGCATAAATTTAGCCTTGAAATGAATCACAGCTGATTTTTGAAGCTAATATTTTTAGTGCATATGGTAGAATTTGTTCTAACCCCAAGCCAAAACCAGATTTGTTAGCTCTGTCATATCTTCCCCCCGCTATGTTGCCTGGAATTTAAGGCACAATTCAAATATCTGTCATGTTCTTAGGAACAGTAATGTCTAAGCAGCCTGTTCTGGAGGCAAACTGCTGTGATGCCTAACAGAAGAGGAGTGAAATAACCTTAGTCAACATGACTGTAGTCATTCATTGCATCAGCTGGATACCTAAAGAATGGCTTGGTTTGCTGACTAAATCCAGTCTTACTTTTGGGCCTGTACCTTACTTTAAAAAATTAAATAAATGAGAATGGAATTTAAATAAATCACTGGGATTAAAAATTAAAAAATAAATTCTGTAGCTGAACCAAACTCTCTTTTGCAAAAACACTAGATATTTTGCTCAGTTGTTTAATGCCATTTATGGATTTGTTTCTTGAACATGAGGAAAAGAGTTGGGTCTTAATATACCTGTAGGGATTGTAAAATGACACAAGGGAAGCACAGCCTTCCTGTAATAAAACAGAAAATTTACAAGATATATCGGTATTCAGCTTTAGCCCAAGTTTGCTCAAAAATTTTATTCCCTGTGACTTGGAATGTCATGCTAAAGGTGATTAAAATGAATGAACTTAGCAAATAAGACTGTATCAGCACATGTAAAAAAGGAGTTATCTTGGAATTGGGAAGACAATGACACTTCAAAGGTGTGGAGTCTCTGAAGGTGCAGGTGAATTGTTTGCCTTGAATAGTAAACTTTGTTTTTCTGTAACGATGTAGTCCTTGGACAAGCAGGAGAAGAGATGTTAGACACTTCAATAATCATCAAGACAAACTTCTTGTATGGTCTCTGTCTTACCTATGAGATAATGGGCTTTTAATGCCTACCACTGATATTGAATTAGCTAAGATAAAATCTTCCTACTCTTAGCATGCATGTATGCAACTGATATAGCTTAGTTCCAATACATTCTGTAGAGTCATGTGGATAGATGTGGTTCAAATGGAACCCTATTTGTTCATTTTATTTGTTGTCCAGATATTAAAAATCCTGCAACAACCATCCCGGGCACAAGTCCTGAAAACCACGTTTTGTCAAGGCCTTAATTTTTCTACCTTTTCTCTCCATTAGTGTGACCACTCAGACTTTTACTTTTATTTTACCATGATTACCACCAACTCTGGCAGACCATTTTCTAAAGTAAAATTTTTGTAGGCCAAATCCAAGATGCCCAGTTGTTTCAGGCCCTCTTCCCTTCCAGATAATTCTAATTTCTACTTAATTTGCCAGTTCTTCATAGTCATCTCAGGCAGAGCTCTCAGTCTGCCAGTATATGCTTATCCAGCTAATTACCTGGAATTACTTCAGCCACTTAAAAAATACTTGTCCATTTAAGAGAGCTGTTTGCACAGAGGCTACAGTGCCATGCACTCACACAGTTCTTGAGTGTTCCTGAGAAATACTCCCTCTGGCAACCTTCTCCTCCCTGGATGATATTTTAGTCACGTAATTACCAACTATTTACCACCTGTTTTTTGCACTTCAGATGTGCTAGACCTCAGACCTTCGGTCAGAAGAGTATTAATGTAATTTAACCAGTCCTGTACCTTCTGAACACCACTGTTCAACATAACAATGTTGTTTTTTCTGTCCTTTCTTTCTAGTCCAATGATTACACCACTTAGATTTTGTGTGATTAGTGATAACTTTTTAGAATTAAGTAAGAGCAAGTACCTGCACAGTAGCCAAACGAAAACAAAATACATTGAAAACTGCGCTCTTCAGCCACAGTAGCTGGTTTGTGTCCCACAAAACACAGTTTGGCAGTTCTATTTCCTTTCTCAACCTTCATGCATCCATGCCCTGCAACCCAAACCCTAGCACACCGCATTTCAGTGACAGAAGTCTTTACTAACCCACCTGATTTAGTTTAGGTTGGCCTGGTCCTACAGACCATGCTAGATGAATATTGCTTTCAGCTATTTATGTAGAATAAAAGGTTCATTTTTCGCATCAGCAACTAAAAGTGATCAGCACCCTCATATACTACCTAGGCTAGTGACTGACTGTCCTTTTTTCAACGATAAAATGTAACCAGTAGGACTTTCATAAATAACATTGTATTTCTCAGCCACTGATAATAACAGAAGAAAGAATGATGTAGTGGTTGGAAAAAAAATAGAGATCATCAATTCATTTGGAACTATACCAAATAATGAAATATTTTCAGTTGTAAAATCAAGAATACCTCTCCTTGTTAACATTGATCACTAAAGAAGTTTTAGAGACAAATTTGTGTCATCAAATAGTACAGTAAGTTTGCATAATTTATATTTTCTAACTTCCCCAGGGGACTATTACAAGACTTCAGATTTCCATAATTCAGTGAACACATTTGATAGGGCCATGTATTTCCCATTTAAATTTAATTGATATCTAATTCAAGTTAATTTAACATACCTAGTGGAAACATTATACTATTTTAAATTTATTTGGTATAATGTAAACTCACATCTCTCGCATCTCCATTAAGTCCTTTATGTTATAAGACACATTTACGTTATAACTACGACCTTGACTCACAAAACTGAAGTTACAGTATTGAATGATAAAGCTATATTTTGGTATTTAAAATGTAAACATGACAAAAATTAATTACTACATCAGCATTTTGAATACACCGATATTTTTTAATTTTCATTATTTTTACTTGATGAATTAGTGGGCAGGCTGGGTAATCAAAATTAAAAGCATACATTAGAGATGAATGAATCTGATTTAGTGAAATACATTTTGATGCAGCAGTTGTTTCTTGCCAGTTCAATGAGTTTTATTCAGGGGGATATCACCTCTGGCCATAATCTACATGCTTCAAATGATAATCTGCTTTACACATGACTGCTTTTTGTTTGAATTCATGCAAAGTTTGATAAGATATATACTTCTGAGTTTTCATCGTTTACGGCATTTAATAGTGAATTTTTAGACTGTGTTTCTGGAATATCATGCAATCAATAAGATAGAAAAATGTCTCCTTGCACAGCTGATGTATGATTTTATTACTTGAGTAATGTTTGATCTTAATTAAATACTTATTTAAAAGGATATGGTCTCACTTTAGCATATTCATCTATCCCCAACAAAATATCAAAGTAAACCAAAAGTCAGCCTGAGTCTCTGTGAATACCTTGTGTAAAGGTTCTTCTCAAAAGGAAAATCAAGAATCTAGAAGGCAGAAGTGCTGAAAGCATTTCAAAATTTGTAAACACTAATTCTTACCTTCTAGGTTCATTCAACATAGACAGATCAGAAAAGATGAAGTGTATTGAAGATTTCAGGTCAGCAGATCAGGTCACTGGGTATGACTGAATGGCATTTATAGGTGTATTCAAAGAGTAATGAAGTAATTGAATATAACAGGGGTAAGATTTATGCTCACATAACAATGTTATGTTCTTCACTGGAACTCAAAATGTCAGTATTTGTGGGTAAACAGTTACTCTTAGTTCTGAACAATACACTTTAAACAGTATTTGTCATTGAAAGGTTAAAAGATTTTTGGTTATGAGTAGGTTGTCTTCAGCAGCTCTTTAACGTCACACTGAAGCAGAAATATTACAAAGAAGATGAAAGCTATATAAATTAGATGAAAAAATTGCTCCCTTTTCCTTTTGGTTCCTTCTGGTATTTGTGTACCCTTGTCATTCAACCTGTTACAACAACAGAAGTTGTATAGTTTTAGATTTCAGTCTTAAAATACCACGTTGTTCATATCTATTAGATTCTAAGAAAGTCTTAATGAAACCTGAATGAGAAAAGGAAACCTTTTTTTCTTCCAGTTGTAATAACCAGATAAAATTTTTTCAGAAAAAAGAATTAGAATAAAATATCAGGGTTATCCTGGAGAGTTAATATATTCAGAGGAAGTAGGGATATTTTACCCAATGATATCCCATGCAAATATTCATCTGAGAGATGAAAATAGAAGGAAAAATACTTGTCCTTTGCAAAGTCTGGCCCTCGATTACTATGGTTTTTGCTGTTATATTTAATCTTATACACACATGCAGGAGGTATGGATAAGTGCAGGAATATTAAAACTGAATGCTTTTTAATATCATTATATGTCACAGACAGTTAGTATGAGAAGATTACAATGAATTGCTTTCCCATGTGTTGTTCCAGTTTCAGAGAAAAGCAATTTTTCAGTTTGACTACTACTGCTGCAAAAATTCACATTTTTTGAAGAATTTTCACCTAACAATTCAAATTGACATAAATCCATAAAAACAGCTTTGACTATCCACCATTTCACCTGTAGTAAAAGGAGGAAGGCATCTGAGTGTGAAGGGCCTATTTTATCCTTCATAGTTTGGGGAGGATAAGATGTTCCCAAACACCCAAGAGACCTGGAGGTTTAGCTAATTTAGATGCTTTGGTTTAATCCATTAATAGACCACCCGATTATTAAGATTTAAAAAGAGATTCATAAGAAAGCCTTTTTCTTTTTTTCTCTTGTTCAATATTGTATAGAATGGTAGATAATAATTCAGGATTAACAGGTACAAGTTGTATTACCTCCTTTTTATGAAATTTACTTAAAACATTATAGTTTGGTACATTCCTGCTTTTCAAAGTTTGCCACTGACTTACAGTTTATTTTTTTTTATCCTTTTTTTTAGTTGGATACACAATGAATGATCTCATTTTTGAGTGGCAAGAAAAGGGAGCAGTTCAAGTAGCAGAAGGTCTCACTCTACCACAGTTTCTGTTGAAAGAAGAAAAGGATTTATGTTACTGCACCAAGCATTATAATACAGGTAGGAAAGCTTATTAGTGATTACAACAGGAAAAACATTTAATATTTTTTGTTATAATAAATGTCACAGCTGGGATATTTTTTAAATGTTCTCACTGAACTCCAAAGAACATTAAAATGTACAGGTGCATTGTGCAGAATAACTTAAATAACTGGCAAACAAAACAAAACTACTTAAGACTGACCAAACTTGTATTTTAGTTACCTTAAGAAAATACATAGTTGAAATAATTCAGAAGCAGTTCAGTCAGGAGTTTTGCTTTTTCAACAAGTGCCATGACCACATTTACACTGTGGATTTGAAGCACTACTGAAACACAAAGGTCCATATGCTGCACACTAATCATAACCTGGCTCAGTCAGGAAAAAGGGACACAGGGTTGCCAAACCAGATATTCCTGCCCTTGTTCATGAAGGGCCAACGTGAACAAGCTGAAATCATGCTTAGTGTGCGGTGCCCAAGTGTAAAAACTAGGCATAAGTATGCAGTGGTAGATTAGCGGGAATGGTTTCAAACTGAGAGTAGGTTTCAATCAGATATTAGGAATAAATCCTTTAACTGTTTCAGTCATGAGTCACTGGAACAGGTTGCCCACAGAAGTTGTAGATGTCCCAGTCCTGGAAGTGTTCAAGGCCAGGGTGGCTGGAGATCTGAGTAACCCGGTCTGGTGGAAGGTGCCCTGCCCATGGCAAGGGTGTTGGATCTAGGTGATTTTTAAAGTCTCTTCCAACCCAAGCCATCCTATGATTATGATTCTATGATTTATGATACTGAATTGAAGCCTTTGTAGAACTGAGATATTTAACTCATTATCTCTGGGATTATTTGAAAAAGGAGGGGATTAACATTAATTATATAGTTATCTCATTTTTAATTGTAAAAAACTATTTCAATAACTGCACAATCTCAAGCATAATAATCCTCAAAAAACATGTAGCAATGGCTAATGATGCGTAGCTTATATCTTGTCTCAAGAAAAAAAATCTAGAAATCTTTTATTCTAATCCATGTATCTTTTAAATTCTGCTCTCCAACATGAGTCTAGATTAAACGTATTTTAAAATTTAAGATTAGAATGATTCATTTGAATTCTGCTGGAATGTCAGGGGGAAAAAATTAACTAGGTGGTATCCATAAGGAATGTCTGGTTGTGATCAAAATTAAGGATGAGTGCTTTTCAACCCTGAGTTTTATCACAACTGTTGTGGTGACCTAAGAGAAAAAATGGTTCTCTAATGATTTCCATTTAGAGAAGAAAGATATTGATAAAGACATTTTGAAGTGTTCCCTAAAATAAATTTGAAATATTTAACATACATTTTTACTGTACAAATACTAATATCTGCATAATCCTTAAAAACATTCTAAAAATGGAGATATATATCCTATAGCAGGGTAATTTTTTCACTCAAACATCTCTTTGTTAATGATAATATAGAATTTCCTATTATTCCTTTTTTTGTTTCTACCATAATCCTTATGACAAATAAGAAAATTTTATTTTCATTATTTTCCACTGTCTCCTTTTGAGATATACAGGCAAGTTATCCCCCTCCTGCTTTTGTGCCATTTTAACATCTGCCTGTAATTGCACTTCTATACCCTGTCTAGTGATATTAACAAGTGCGAATTCATGATATAGAATATTTTCCGAAGTTCATTTGCATACCATGATGCATAAAAAATCTCTAACTGAGGAATTAAGACATTTACATGGGGTGTAATCTGGTGCTGAATGGAAATCTGTATTAAAATTTCATAATTTCCAGTGATTTCCAAACACCTCATCAAAAGCTGAGTTGTACCCTTACTCATTTGTCTGAGAACTCACATTGTAATCATCATGGTTTAAACCTTATCTTTTTGATTAAAACTTCATTGTTTCAATATTTTTGAGGCATTACATTTTTCTTCACAACCTATGTTTCAAGCCTTTTTAATTTGGTATGAATTTTCTTCTAAGGAAAAATAGGAGAACATGCTTCACCTAGGCATACTACACTAGGTTGTATGGGTCAACTTAATTCTACTGCTTTTTCCCTGTGCCCCTAAACTGAGTTGAGAAGCAGGAGCAACAGATGTTATTAACATGAGGCATGTGAAGCCTCACGCTTCTCAAAATGTGGCTACAAGACAAGTGTGCTTATCTCTGTGCAATTCTGTCACACTGAGATGGGAGAAGGGGTTTACCATGATAAGTCGAGAGGACTGTGTGGCCAATCAGCAGTCTGTTGTACTCTGTATTGCTTTGGCCAAACTGCATTTCTGTGGCCAAGCATGCTGTAAAGCATCAGTGCAACCCACAATGCTGAAAAGATGGATGAAGTTCATGCCTCTCCTGAAAGAATAATTGGACAATTTGTCCATAAAAAGTCAAAGTATTTGCTAACATAGAAAACTTGGAACCCTGGATGCAACTAGACGATGGAGACTTTAAAAAACGTCAGCAAAAGAGAAGACAATTGCACAACTGTGGAACCTGCCTGTGATGGGCAAGGGGGGAAAATGTGATGCTGAGCAGCACCATCTGCAGACAAAAGGGTATGTCCTCACCAGAGTAAGCAGCAGAGTGGCCTGCTCTGAGTTACAGCAACAAAATTAGAGATACAGATCTAGAAGAACTTTGGCAGGACAAATCAGATAAAAAAAGATGGTCTTGCTCATGCAGGACTACATTTATTGTGATACTCTCCTCTTCAAGACAACAGTATTTTATCCAGAGTATGTTTTTTAATTCAAGTCTTCAGTATAAAGTGAGTTTAATAAGATTCGAGAGGTTTGGTTTCTAGGAGTGTAAGAATGCATTTTATTTCTTTGTTACAACCAGTATTATTAACTACCATTTGTAGGCAAAACCCCATAAACATTATATTAAAAGACAACAACAGCTAAGAGTTTATTTTCACTATGTCACTTGGATATGTGACCAGTAATGTGCTTTCTTAAGACTCCTGCAATGAGCTTTTGCAGGCAGATACGCCTTTAGAACACCACACAAGAAACAAAATTAAAAAAAATCAATTTTCAAAACTTGAAGTAAAGTCTATTTCTCTGGCCTATGACAGATTAGATAAACTGAATTCTTAAAATAATGATAAACAACTGCAGCTGGTATGCAGTAAGTGACCAATAAGAGTTTTCAAATTAAATTTAGTTACAACATAGAATGGAAAATTCCTCTGAGACATCCTGTAAAACAGAAAAAAAATCCCCAAATTCTCCCTGTGAAAAAATTTAATATGAAGCTTCAGGACAACTTGTGGAAACTCATCAGTGCATGTCTTGTCAGTGTTTCATGCCCAATTGAAAATGAATAACTGTAACCACAGCTCAAAAAACAAACTATATCTAAATATAGAGACATAACAGTTTCAGCAAAAGTACAGCAAAATGGTTCATCAAGTCTTGTGTTCTGAAGTGACGCAACATTTCCGATAATTTTCATGTTTTGCATCCACAGGCATATCCGCAGTGACACATTTGGGAAGTGAAGTAGAATCATAACAACCAGCAAAATCACATATGAACCATTTATGTTACAAGGATGGTCTTGCTTTACTTCATTCCTATGTGACATTCATTGCTCCCCTGGGCAATGAATTTTTATTTCACCTAATTTTTACTTCAATCACAGATAATTTTAATCATGGCTGCAGAAAGTCCAATATACAATAGCTTGAATTTGTGCATAATAGCGTTGGTTAACAGGCACAAACAGAAATACTCTGAGTCTTGGTTTTAATCCTGCTCCATGGATAATGCACAACACTTGCACTTGAATGATGCTGCTCAGAACTGTCTTAGGTCTATTAATGCTTTTTGGCTCAAAGGTTTGGATATAGTGGTCCTGGAAACAGTGGAACTATGGTTCCTACACTCACCACCAGAACTGATGAATTCCATGTGACCATTTCTGATAATTGCAGTCTTGATGAATGGCATGTTTCCTTAATTTATCAAGCTGGAAAAAAAATTAGTTTCTCTTTTCCATATTTATTTTCAACTTTCTTTTATTGCAGTCATTATCAGTCTTACACCAATGTTAAATTTACCACCTGCCCAAGTATTTGTTTCCTGAAAAGCTGCATAAAGACACTTCCTTCCTGTCCAGGAATTTATGTAGTCAATGACAGGTCACAACATCAGTACTGATTTCTCCTAATATGCTACTAATATCCACAAACTTGATAGAAAAACTGAATGATAGTACATTCCTAGAGTTGTTTTGTGAATTTTGGCTTTAGATATTTAGATCCATAAACAACTTGTCTAGTTCTATATGCCAAACACTGGAAAATCATAATTTCTATTCAGGCTGTATGATGATACATACAACCTGTTTTATCTGTTTTATGACAAGGAAAAGGTGAGTACTTTTGTAAGCAGTTTTTGTCAGCAAAATGCATTCAAATTGCAATTTATATTAAATGCAAACTGCAAAGTTTTTGGAGACTGAACTAATAAAGTGTTTTTAATTACCCTGACTTCTTCATAGAAAGGTATGAAAATAATTTCGGCTAAATTTACTTATATGTAGTCAATTTTAGAGGTACAATCTCTTGAAATAATGAGCTCTACATGCGCATAATTTATTAATTGTATTTTTTGTTTAAGAAATTTTATCATTAAAAGACAAAAGGAGTGAAAGCGTTTAACTGTATTTCAGTAATAAGTAAAGCAGAGCTCCTGTCAAATGATGGTGTCGCATTCTGAGAGGAATAAAAAGGAAGTGTCAGACAAGGTAAAATCAAGTAGATTGCTTGCTGTGTGGTGATTCTGCTATGTGGAGAGAAAGGGACAGTATTGTCTCATGGAAAAGACAGTTTACATATTTCATTCTCCTTCAAGCTCTCTGTGAAAATCATCTACCATTATGATTGCAGGGTGATACATAACATGCTGTTGCCAAGAAAGGTTAATTGCAAACTTATTTTAGCAGATGCAGAGAAAAAAGAAAGCACACAACAAAAGGCAAAAGGAAAGTGTTGGTGGTCTATGTT